AAATCGCCGCGTCCGTCTGAATGCGGGGAAAGAGCCTCATGCACACTCGCACACTCTGCATGCCTCTGTCCAACCTTAAACGCTGACAGCTCTCTGACTCGGGTTGCTGACGTCGAGTGTGATCCAGCTTCGTCTCGTGCGACGTCGAGCGGAGGAATCGATGTATTCGATGCGACTCGATGTGTCACTTGGTTGATCAGTGGATGGCGAAAAGTCCTCCGCTGAACGACGGCAAAAGTGGGAGCAAGCTCGGCTACATCCATTGAGCTGTCAAGACAGAGAGACAGAGAGAGAGAAGACATGCGCTGATCTTCACCAGCTCCACTCGAGCCGGCAACCGACCGGTATCCGTGGTCTGTGCGACCCGCATCCCGCAGCCCGCACCCTCGGTTCGCGAGACCTATATGAAACGCCCCCACCCCGCCTTTCTCCATCCCTCCCTCCATCATCGACCCTCCTCCTCACACCAACCCGCACCATGCCGAGCCTCGTCACGTACATCGGCATCCCCATCGCGCTCGCCGCGCTCGCCTACCAATTCCTCTCGGGCCCCGGCAGCAAGGCGCACGACGTGTTCGGACTCGGCCGGCCGCTCAACTACACCTCGCACACATGCACCAAGATCCCCGAGCTCGAGGCGTGCGAGGACATGTACCTGCACCAAGGCTCCGGTCTGCTGTACCTCGCGTGCTCGGACATCAAGGGCCGGCTGTCCTGGACGCCTGCGATCGACAACCTCGACGTCACGGGCAGGCCGAACAACGACCACCTCGCCATCGTCGACACGCGCGGTTCCGGCCCAATCGCAGGCAGGATCACGCGCATCAAGCCCGTCACGTTTGCGGACACGCTCAACGTGCACGGTATCTCGGTGTGGGAGGTGCCGGCCCAGTCGGCGGAGCTCAAGCCGACGCTGCGCATCTTCCTGAACAACCACCGTCCGCCGATTGACCCTGTGACGAAGACCGTGCAGGACGCAGCCAAGGTGGGCGCGAATTCGACGTTTGAGCTGTTCGAGACGACGCTGGGCGAGGCGAGGATGCGCCACATCCGCACGTACGTCGGCGACGCCATCCGCACGCCCAACCGCCCCGCCGCCGTGGGGCCGGACAGCTTCGTGTTCACCAACGACCACTCTGTCAAGGTGGGCGCCTCGCGCCTGCTCGACTTTGTGCTCCCCCGAAGCGACCTCGGCTTCTGCAACGCAAACGGCTGCAAGATCGCCGCGCCCGGCCCATACCCTTACCCGAACGGCGTCGTGCGCTCCGCCAAGTTCCCAAACACGTTCTACATGCCCTCATCCGCGGACCCCAACATCCGCGTCTTCGAGCTGCAGGCCGACAACACGCTCGCGCTCATCGACGTCATCCACATCGGCTACCCCGCCGACAACCTCACCGTCGACGAGCACGACAACATCTACGCCGCCTGCTTCCCCAACGTCCCCAAGCTGCTCGCCAAGTTCAAGGATCCGTACACCAAGCACTCGCCCACCACCGTGCTCAAGATCAGCAAGAACGAGGGGCACGACAAGTTCTTTGGCAAGAAGTGGAACGTCGACAAGATCATGGAGGACGACGGCACGCAGATGAGCGGCGCCACCACGGCGCTCTGGGACCAGACGAACGAGCTGCTTTGGCTGGGTGGTAAGTGTGCTGCCCACGGATGCATGTGGTGTGGAGTTGAGAGTGGATTGAAACTGACAAACGCTTTTTTATCTTGTCTGCCGACACACAGGCGTATCGAGCATCTCTACCGTGTGCAAGCTCTGAACACAGCCTCGCATCCCCCCGCACAGGTCACCACACAAAATCCCACCACATCCCCCTCACCCGGACATGTGACAACAAATCGAAAGCCGAAAAGAAATGCAATTCACGTCGTAGGGATCATGCGCCGAAATCGAGACCGCTGTGCGTGTGTGTGTGCTGCAGCAGAAACTCGCCGTGTATGAGGATGCGCTGACAATGAGATGAGCAATGGTCGCCCACTGACCTGAAGACCACCGAGCGCGTGAGGTGAGAGTGAGACCGCCGTGCATGCGTGTGCTGGGATAGAGGCCGCCGAGTGTGGTCATCCGACCGACACTGATCCCGCCGTGCGTGCGGTGACATCAAGGCCGTACGCCAGCATCGAAACCACCGTCAGTGTGCTGCCATCAAACCATGGGAATGCGCTCATACGCTTACACTGCGACCGCCTCTCGCATCCACTTCCACCCAGACCTCGCACCCACTATTCCCACCTATCCACACTGACACCTGCACCTGCCACCTCGCAACCTAATTCTTCCTCCCCAACCCAGGCAGCGCAAAGACTGTACCACAAAAACGCAAGCTAGTCAGCTACTACCCTCTCCCCTCTACCCACACCGTAAACTTACACTCGAAAACCTTCTCGGCAGGCACGGCGTCGCCCCTCCTTCCCTCGAGCGCACTCATCTTGTGCCCCCTGACCACCCCGACGACGCTGCCCGTCTCGACATCCACCACCGGCCCACCGGACGATCCAGGCGGCGGGAAGTTGGGCAGCGGCCTCCTCGTCTGGCTCTGCATCACCTGTGCTTCCCCCTCCGTCGTGCTGCCCGCGCCAAACGCCGCACTCGGACGCACCGCTTCCGAAACAGTGCTCGACAGCCGCAGCGCATAGTCGCCCTGCAAGGCGGGCGGGTTGGCGGGCGACGAGACGAGCAGCTTGTAGTCGAGCTGCGCAAGCTCGTCGTACGTGCCCACCATCGCGCTCGCGCCACACGGGTCCTTGTACTCGACCAGCCGCGCGCGGCCCCATCGGCTGCGCCCCGCATCGTCGCGCTCGAGCTTGACGCGCTCCTTCTCTCTCCCCTGCGGCGGAGTGGTTGTGGAAACGCCGAGACTCTGCTGCTGAGCATCGTATGTGTATGCAGGCAAAATGGCGCCCGAATCGTCTTCCCAGCCCCAGAACGACGAGACGGACAGCTCGCTGTTGACGTGCGCCGGATAGGGCGAGACGGGGAGCGTGCGCACAGGTTGCGTGGCAGCCGAGGAGCCGTCGAGCGACAGAGCCGTGGAGCCGAGTTGCAGCAAAATGACATCGGAAGCGGCCAGACTGCTGATGAGGTTGCGCACGGGATAGATGGCGCCAGTCCGAGTGATGGCCACCGCGATACTGTCCGAGTCCGAGCCAGCAGCCTCCGCTTCAGACGCACCCTTCGACGGCAGCGAAGCACGCAGAGTATGCGCACACGACACGACAAGCGCGCCCTTACCATCCCCGTCCTCGGCCGAAATCTTGTCCCCACCCTCTACCGCAAACCCCGAACAGACGCTGATGCGCTCCGTACCCCTCGCACCCGTCAGGTTCGACACGTACGCCAGCAGCAACACGCCATCGTCGCTGGCATCTTGCAGTTCGGCTTCCGAGCTGTGCGCCGACGTCAACGGCACCTTGCGCTCCTGCGCTGGAGTCGGCTCGTAGGGAAGCTCGATCGACAGCTGGTAACCCGCCCTCGACTCGAAGCGTTCCAGCAAGTGCGAGATGGTCGCAGCCTTGAAGGTGTCAGCCGCATCTGCAGAGCGTGGGTTCGGGTTGGCAGAAGCGGCGTGGAGTGCGCGAGCCGCAGCAAGAACACGCTCGTCCAGCTCGTTGCGTCCATACAGCGCGTCGATGGGGTGAGGATGCTCGCGGTCGACGATGCCACGTCGCTCCTCGAGCTCTCGCATGGGTCGTTTGAACATCTCCTCCAGCATCTCGTCGCGCGAAGGGATGGGGATGCCTTTGCGCTCGGCGCCGATAGCAGTTCCTTTGATGCGCTGTAGATCGGCATGGCGAGCACCTGGATTGTTGCCGCTGTCGCTGCTGCTGCCGTTGGATCGGCCGTGGGTTGGATCCCACGGACGATGGCCACGAAGCAGGTCCGAAATGTCGTTGGGGTTCTTGCTGCCGAAGCGGGAAAGCGTGCTGTATGTGCCTGGAGCCGAGCCGAACTCTTGACCTTCTCTGGGCGGTGGCGGAACCGAAGTGCCGAGCAGCGCATCCACCGAGCTAGAAGGGTTGACGGGCACAGCGTAGTGTCGAGTTGCGGCAAATGGCAGCACAGCACTGGGCCGCTTGAGCATGTGCAGTCGTGCCGGTTTCGAAAGCATCTTGGACAGGATTCCTTTCGAGGTGGTGGTCGAGTGTCTGCGTGCGATAGAGCCGTACAGGTGATCAATGTGTTTTGATACTGAGAGAGAACGGCGACAATGAAGGATAGATGGTGGTTGGCAAGAGAACTCAGCGCAGCAGCTCCTATGTGGCCGTATCAGTGCTGTGCCGTGTGCTGTGCCGCGCTGTGCCGCGCTGTGCTCAGCCTCGACCAAATCACGCTTATGCACAGTCGCCTGTGTGGAGGCCAAAAAAGCGGGCAACGGCATCTTATCGGCCTTTTCACGCTTGTGCTTGGCTATCATCTCCTGACAGCAGCAGCAGCAGCAGCAGCAGCAGCAGCAGCAGCTGTGTGTGGCGCGTCTTGTCTGAGCTGAAAAAGAACGACACAGGGTCTTGACGTTAGCGCATGTCTGCACGAGTCTTGCGTGCTCGAGCAAGCTGCAGCGACTCGTCCGACCCGCACCTTTTCGCACTGTTATCAGATCAGATCGTGTCCCGCTCTCGAGTGCATGCATGCAGCTGCGACTCCAACTCTCAATCACGCTGCCGGACTGCTCCGTCACTCCGAGTCATGCAGTATTCAGTTCAGATACGACACAGAGGCGCGCCTGCCGCGACGATCTTTTCTGCTGGTCCGGCTTGCTTTCGCGTCCTTCGCGGCCCAAGCGTCGACCTTGCTTCCCACTAGCAAAAGAACCCAGACTTTTCCTTCACACTTCCTTTTGCCTGTCCATACACCACCATCTCTTCAATTTGAATCAACCATTGCTCGTGCATCTCCCCATCAACCATGCTCGAAACTTCGTGTCAAGCATCCTCTCTCGTCTTTGTACACTCCAAAAATGTCAAAAAAGACGGCTAAAAACTCAGCTTTGGGGCCGCTACGAGGATCGAACTCGTGACCTCTTGCATATTTCGAATGGGCGCGAAGCCCTATTGCCCAAAGCAAGCGCGATACCACTACGCCAAGCGGCCGCTATGAACTCTGCACGTGCCAAAACGGCGCCGGAGTGTGTATATATTGTAACAATTGCTTCGCAAATTTGTACGAAGAAATGGACACTTTTTGTATGCTCACCTCCCACTCGTCGCTACTATACACAACGTCCATCCATTCACAGTCCTCTTCGAGCAAGATGCATTTTGTACATTCCTCATGAGGACAATAGAGTGACACCACCAGCGCTCATACAGACTCGTCGCAGCGCCGCGCCGGTGCTCACCACAGCAGGCGGCGCTCCTCGCGCTCCGCGCGCGCCACGCGCTTGTTCAACCCCCAGGACGCCTTTTTGAGCTCGTCGTGCTGCTTCTTGACCTCGCGCACCGCCTTGGGCAGCGGCGCGACGATGGACACGAACAGCGGGCTGCAGTTGAACTGCTTGGCGAGCGTCGTCTTGGTGTACGTCACCGGGTCTTGGCGGCGCAGGCGCTGGATGGCGGCGATCTGGTCCAGCGTGATGGCCGTGTCGATGTTGGGGTGCTGCTGGGCGAAGCGCGAGCGCGGGCGCAGTGCGGGTGGGAGGACGGACGCGTCCGAGGCGGGCTGCGCGTTCAGCAGGGGTTGCGGCTGGTAGATGGTGCTGCGTGCCGGGGTGGTGGAGGGAGGAGGGCGGACGATGAATGTTTCGCCCGAGGGAAGCGTGTGGCGCGTGGCATCGGGCGAGGCGTCGAGCGGGTCGCGCGGTCGGCGGGCCGGGGTGTTGCGCAGGCCTACGCTCGATGTCGCGAAGCCTCGCCTCGAGCCAGGCACGATGTTCTGGAGACTCGAAGACGAAGAGAAGCTACGCTTACCCGCAACAGCCTCCGGACTGATCGGCGCCGCCGAGAACGAGAAACCCTTGGGACCGCTCCACGTGCCCTTGACATACGAGTTGTAGTAGACCCACGGGAAGAAGTCCTTCTTCAGGTGGTAGAACGCCTTCCTCGGCACACCCTGGTCGATGCCCAGCAGGCTGCCAAACGTCTCCTTGGGCTTGCCGCCGTACTTGAACTCGGCCAGCATCACCTTGCCGTACTCGGTGAGCAGAGGGCACGACGTGTACCCGTCGTACGCCGCATCCGGCTCTTTGCCCTGCAGCGCCTGACCGAGGTTGCGCACCAGCACGGGCGCCTCAGCCGTGATGGCCGCCGCCGTCTTGGACGTGGGCAGCGACGAAGCATCGCCGATACTCCACACATTATCAAAGCGCTTGTGGCGCGTGCTCTCCTGGTCGACGTCCACAAATCCAGCGCCGTCAGCGAGCGGGCTGTTCTTGATCACCTGCAGCGGTCCCATCTTGGGCGTGACGTGCAGCAGATCAAACTGCTTGCGCACCTGCTCGGCGCCGTTGGGACGCGCAAACACCGCCGTGTTGCCCTCGATGGCGACGAGGTCGTGCTCGAAGAGTCCGTCGACGCCGCGCTGCTGACGCAGCTCGTTGAGACGCTCGCTGTACTTGGGCACGCCGAACATCACGGGCAGGCCCGTAGCAAAGTCGATCGAGATGGCCGAGTTGGCGGGGTCCGCAGCGTTGTACAGCCCTTCGTTCTTCCAGTGGTCCAACGCCAGCCACATGGCCTTCTGCGGGGCACCGGCACACTTGATCACACCGGCAGGCTGCGTGAAGATGGCTTTGCCGGATTTGAACTTGGAGATGGTGTCGAACATCTTGTCGCACGTGTCGTAGCCGTAGATGGTGGAGACGAGCGAAGACGAGTCGGCCAGCGCCTCGGGCAGACCCTTGATGGCGTCGTAGTTGATGCTGAGACCGGGCACCACGACGAGCTGGTCGTAGGCGATCGTGTTGCCGTTGGCGAGCGTGATCTGGTTGTGTTCAGGAGCAAAGGTGTCGACGGCGGAAGCGTAGTGCTTGAGTTTGGGGTCGAGGAGCGAGGCGAGCGGACGTCGGAGGTCGCGCTTGTCCTTGAGACCGCCACCGACGAGCGTCCAGCCGGGCTGGTAGTGGTGCCACTCGGAAGGGTCGACGATGGCAATGTCGTCCTGGGCGAATCCGCCGGATCGGACGAGCTGGTGGCTCACAGCCATACCTGCGGACCCACCGCCGATGATGACGACCTTGTGGCTGCTGGATCCAGAGGCGGCATGCTGGACGGGTGCCGCTTCCGAGACGGTAGCCAGGGTGCGAGTAGCGTTGACAGCAGCGCTGGTGAAGCGAGAGTGGGACGCCGTCCTCGCCGAGACGCGGAGGCTTGTGTTGAGCATCGCGTGCATGCTTGAAGCGCAAGCCTGCTGCTGTCGTCGAACCGTGCAGGAGGCAGGTGGTAGATGATGGTGTTGAGAGCGAAGAGAAGAGTGAATGCAGGCCAAACCAACTTTTGGTTCTGTCGGTTCTGGAGCTGATTCAAGAAGAAGTAGAGAAAGAGAGAGAGAGAGTCGCCGAGCAGTCCAAGAGAAGATCTTCAAAATCCCGATGCACGAGAGAAGAAGAAAAAAATCAGCCACAAAGCACGCCATCGGAAAAAAAAAGCTCGTCAGTTTGTTCGATACGACGATCCAACACCTTCAATCATTTTCCGCCCTTGCCTCCCTCCGTCACTCTCTCGCCTCTGACTCCCAGCTCAAGTCACTCTCACCAGCTCACACAAAGAGACTGCTTCGGCGAAGATGTCTTCCATTCCAACGCCCCCACATCACCACTGATACTCGCCAGGCAAACGATCCATCCGCGAGTTCTGCCGACTCTGACTGCTGCCCCCTCTCGGTGTCGCGAACGGCGAAGAGACGTACGACGTGGGCGAGGACGTCGCTGCCAGATCCATGCCCTGCATACTGCTCGCCAATCGATCGGCGCAGTTTCCTCCTGCAGCTGCCATGGGCGGCAACTGCAGAGCGGGCGCTTGTCCCGTGCGCTGCTGCTGCTGCTGCGACGAGGTGTAAGGATCATAGCTCGCAGAACGGAAGCTCGAAGCGCTGGCAGTTCGGGCTGGTCGCAAAAGAGGCCGAACCATCTCGACAAACAGCGGCAGCATCTCGGGGAGCACCTTGAGTTCTGGCGCTTTGGGCGCTGGGATCTTGCGACGCTTGCGCGGCTTCTCCGTCCCAGCGCCGTCGGCTGATGCACCTCGGGGCAACGACGGAAGCTCCTTGTCCATTTGTCTCAAGTTGCCAGGCGTGAGTGTCGCTTGACGCGAAGGAGTCGGTCTCCATCTTGGCGCGCTGTCGTCCTCATCCTCGGCTTCGGCTTCGCTGTCGCTTGAGGCAACCTTGTGCAGCTTGAGTCCGTCGCCGCCGTGCCCGTCGTCCGACTCCTCCTCGTCCGAAGTCTCGATCTCGTCCTCCTCCGCTTCAGCATCGGCAACCTCGCCAGTGAAGATGTCGCCGACGCCCAGGTTCTCGACCATCGCCCCAACAAAAGCGGAATCGTCTTCCTCGGTCAGGCCGTCGGCTCTGCGCTTCTTGTCTGCGCCCATCAGCTTGCCCGCAACGCCAGCCACCTCGCGGTCCGCCAGCTTGCGACGCAGCTTGAGCTCGCGCAGGAACTTGAGTCGATACGCATACAGCACCAACGAGTCGATCTCGTCGAGCGCCTTTTTGCGCTCCTCGCCTCCCGCAGGCAAGCAGATCTCGAGATCGACCTCGCCAATGCCGTCCAACTTGCCCACGGGCTGTTCGGAATCGCGCGCCGCTTGCTGCGACACCGCCTCGGCCGATCGGTCGTTGCCGCGCACAAAGTTGATAAAGAGCTCGATCCAGTGCATGAGCCCGTCAAACAGACCCGAGCCTTTGGAGTGCACCTGGTGCACAAAGTTGTAGAAGCGCCCCTCGTGCCTCTCGACCAGGTCCACAAACACTTGGACCGTGCGTGTGGGATCCGTGTAGCTGAGCTCTTCGTTGGCCTCGACGGTCTTGATAAGATCGGTAATAAAAGCCTGAAGATCCGACAGGCTGTCCGCGATGTTGGCCAGCTTGTACACCTGGGCGAGCGGCGAGTAGAAGATGGTGACCATGTCCTTGAGCAGCTCGGCGGTGACGCCTTCGAAGATGAGCGAGATCATCTGTTCCTTGTCGCGTTTGCGCGTGAGCATCTTGATGAGCACGTGCAGATCCTCGTACAGCCACGCGTCGTCATCCTGCGGACCTTCGTCTTCGAGCTCAGGATTCTTGAGACCACGGCGATACTGCTTGTACACCTCGTACGCCTGACTCGCCTTGACGACACGGTGCACTTGCGAGCGGTCGAGCGCAGGTGCTTCGGGCGAGCGCAGGATGGTGGTGAGCAGATCCAGCCGCTCCTCTTCGGCATCTTTACGGTATAAAGCCTGGATCTCGGCGGGCGCGTAGACAAACTGACGCACCTTGTCGCAGATGGTGGCGTCGTCAACCTTGGCACAGATGGCGGCGCAGACCTCGTCCAACTCGCGCACCTCGTCTTGGAGGCTGCTGGAGAACATGCGCTGCAGTAGACTGCGCTGACCGAACGGCTGAGCCAGAAAAATGTCGAGCACGCCTCGCACCATGGCCATGGGGTTCGAAATGCGCAGGATGCCGCGTAGCATGAAATAGGGCATCATGCCGTGCATGCGCTTCATCTGTGCAAAGATTTCGGACGAATTGTCGCTACCCATGAAGATCTGGAAGATGGTGGAGGCGAGGCTGATGCGCGCCCACTTGACGAGCGCCTTGTACTTTTCGGGCAGGTCTTCGATGCGCGGCGTCGACTTGATGGTGGCAAAGATGCGGCTGAGGCCGTCGTGCTGCACCAAGTCCTGCTTGAACTCCTTGAGATGCTGCTGGAGCTCCTGCGCACGTCGGGCGGCTTCGTCCGAAAAGCGCTTGTGCTCCTCTTCACGCACATGATCGAGACCTTCGCGGATGGCGGCGTCCTCCTCTTCAGCGCGGGAGAGCGTAGTGGGCTCGGCAGTAAGAAAGTCCATGAGCAAGGCACTTTCGGCCACGGATGGACTCGCGAGGAGGGAGCGGAGGTATGCTCGCAAGGTGAGACGGTTCTTTTCTCTGGCGAGCGGACCGGTTGGCA